TGCAAATGTGAGGAATGACCTTAATACAGGTTTCACTGTATCAGCTTTTTTGGACTCCTGCTATTTCAAACTATTTTTTGTTTCCCTTGAGAGTATAGAAATTCAATATGGTTAAATGAAATTTAACATAGTTAATGACTAGGAGCTAGTCTGGTCAGTAGCATTTTTGTAGGTGGTTGTTAGTGTCTTGGCCGTCTGTTAGCGCTTGTTTAGCGTTTGGTGCATTCTGTAGCGTTTGATATAGTTCAATGAAATTTTACATAGTTTATGATCAGGTCAGCCAGTCTGGTCAGTAGTGTTTTTTGTAGGCATTTGATAGTGTCTTGGCCGTCTGTTAGCGTTTGTTAAGCGTTTGGTGCGTTCTGTAGCGTTTGCAGCAGTCATGTGGTCGTGGGAGTCCTGTGGCTGACATTGTCCAGCGGTATTCTTGGTGTGTTGTCGTCCCATGTGCTTGCAGTGTGTTCATTGCTCCGTTAGCGTGGCGTGGATTGAATTATAGTAGTTTCGCGGTTCTCGGCATTCCCTCCCTATTCCCCCCCTCGTTTCAGCATTTTGTTTTTTCCACTGAGCCATCTGGCTTGAGTGTGATGGGTGCCTGTAGGGGGCCTGGCGCGGGGGGCTGGTGGCTTGGTTGCGGGTTGGGCAGGCCAGTCGGGTGTTCTAGCGCCTTGAGGATGTGACTGCGGTTGCAGCCCCCGGGCTTCGTAGGCACCTTCCCTCCACTAGCAACTTGGGTGCTAATTTAAGATAAGATAGGAGTACATAGGAGTCATAGTTAGGTTTGTAGTATCACTCATAGGAAAGTTGTAGAATTAGATGTTGTGTTATAAATTTACAATTTTATAACTAAAAAAAGTTTGGTTTGGCTGAAATTGAAAATGAAAATGAAGGAAATCTTTTCAATGTTAAAGTGAAACTATTTAAAGATAAATATTAATAAACATACTTTCAGGAACACAACTTACAGTAAAGCAATAGGGTTTCACTTCTCCATGCAATATCGATAATTTTGATGGCACCAAAAATGGCGGAGGCTGACCAAGTGTCCTTTAAATCCATGATGGCTGGCTTGGTCAGAAGTGAGTGGTGCAATATCAAAAAAATGGTATTCAGAGTGTTCGAAGTTTATGCTTTGTTCAGATGGTTTCAGGTCATTTCTGTTAGCTTACATGTACATGTAAGGGTTAAGTGTGAATACAAACAGTCAGATTCTGTTTTTATTTTGCACACAAATTGTTCAGTTCACAATTCACTCGTAGTTTGTATTTTCAGCCTTTCTTCAGTTGGTGTCAACTCCTTGAGAAAGATCAGAAGAAGTGTCCAGAAAGTGCCTTCAAGTTTTTGTTTTACTCTTCAGCATATGGCTACTGTTCCTACATGCTATTTAATGGCAAATATAACTTTTTCCAAGACACAAGTAACTGCTGGAAAGGTTAGTCTTTGTGCATGTGTGATCTGTTAAAAGTATGTGCTTGTTATTTGGTTCTTGTTTAAATTTATTTATAATATCTAAAACAAAATTGAATTTATGATAAATATTTGTATTGGTAATCGTATGATTAATGAATGGGAGTGTAACTGAGAATTTATACATGTGTACACTAATTTTCTCAAAATTGCATGTCGAGCCTTTAGGCAAGTGCAATTTGAAAGTTTAGAATTTTCAAATTATTCTCAATTAATGTACTGTAAGTCCTTATTATTGCTTGATTTTTCATACAAATTAAATTAGCCCCCATCATAAGTACATGTAGTATGACTGAGATAACAGTGATTATATGATAATTATAAATCTTAAATTAGCATGTGCTTGTTCATAACAAGTATCATTATTATAAACAGGCACATGTTAATTTGCATTGCAGATAAAATTTTAAAAAATTAATGATTAAATTGTTCTGCTCACCGGTCTCAGCCAATCACAATGAAGTAATTTTCTGAGTCATATTAATAAAATCGTTAATAGTATGCATAATGTCGCATATTTGCTAGATTACAATGTAGAAAAAGGTTTCTAATTAATCCAATTTTGTGCTGCTCTCAACAAATTGTCCCTTGTGCTCACCTGCATCTGGTCTGACATGAATGAAAACCTTTTAAGGTTTAATATTAAAATATTAAGTTTGTTCTCAACTTCATGAAAGATACAAGCCATGTAAATGGAGTTAAATGTTGTATATCATAATGTAAATGTGACAGTTCATGTCTATTTACAGGATGGTACAAAGGAATGCCTGTTCCTCAAGACATATATATGCTTTATATGGTGGAAGCAGGCTTTTATTTTCATTCCATTTATGCCTCGCTGTTTATGGACCAGTGGCGGAGGGATTCCATCCTTATGATAATGCATCACATTCTAGCTAATTCACTTATTCTCTACTCATTTGCAATCAGGTAAGATGAAAGAAAAGTAGTAATAATTGAATGCAGCATACACGGTGAAGGTTAGAGTTTGGTTTTTTGCTTCTACCAGTCCAGTGCAGGGGTTTGAGGATGGACATTTACACTAAACAAGATCTCTTGTGCCACAATGCTAAAAAAATCTAAAATGTGGGCCTCAGAATTGAAGCTACGTTGTATTTTAGCTTTAGACGGAAAGAAAGCACAGAATTATCCTCCTAATTGTGACTTAAGAAAGACCTATAACTTGTGAAACCACCAAATGTACATACCTTCATGTTCACCTGGAATGCTACTCTAAGAGGGTGTCAAAAACATTTGGTCATTTAACTCAATTTAATTTAAAACAGTTGCTCAAGACAAAAAGGTCAACAAACATGACAGGTTGAGAATACCAAAACACCTCGTGGTTTGATACATTCAACTTTGCATGTGCGCACTAGGATTACGTACAGCTGTAATAAAATCGTCAGAACATTCAGGGCTTAACCTTTCTTCTACATTTCAGATATTATAAAATTGGTGTTATAGTGTTGTTTCTTCATGATATCAATGATGTGATACTGGAATTTACCAAGCTGTGTGTGGCTTTCAAGTCCCGTGGTGGAAAATATCACCTCATACCGGACATCACCAGTATTGCAGGATTTTTGACTTTTGCATCACTGTGGTAAGCATATTAAGTTACAAATTGACCACGGACAATGCATAATTTCCAAGATTTGAAAAATGGACTTTGAAATTAAAAAAAAAAAGTTTGCTCTCATGAAACATGTTGAAATCATTTATTAATATATGTCACAGATGTTTAAATTAATTATTCTATACTTGAACCTGTAGATTTAGGGTTTTTAAACAATATTTTTACAGAACAGTTTTTAGTTCTTTGACCAATATTTGTATCTAAAGCACATATCATTTTGTACATTTTATATTAAGATATATGTTTCAAATTGATATATTATATTTGGAAGTTATTGTTAATCAAAACAAATATGCATTGGGTTAGTGACAGTAGAACACAACTAGGTAGTGTGGAGAGTCTTTGATGCTCTTGGCATTTCTTTGTGTGCTTTGTAATAGAGGAAATCTCCTTCAAGCCTAATTGTCATCTGTTATTTATGCTCTACATTCAATTGACAAACAGGTGTGCCCAGTATGGCATACAATTAGGATCATATGGGACTACAAAGTCTTTAATAGACCATTTTACAGTTGTCTGCTCTGTGACCTGGCCTTTGAATGGCAGCGAGGCTTGAGTTGACCTTGTTTTGAAGATACAGACCTCTCTGCTTTTGTCACTTTTTTTAATCTAGTTTTTTTTATTTTAACTTGTTTTATTTACGTGTCAAAAGCAGTGAGGTCTGTATCTTCAAAACAAGGTCAACTCTAGCCTCTCTGCCATTCATAGGCCAGGTCACTGAGCAGACAACTGTAAAATGGTCTATTGTTTTGCAGACTAGATTTCAAGAATGTCTGAATGTTGTTAACAAGTTGAACAATAAAACTTCACTCCATAACACTAATTCTATGGATACTGTTTTAGGTTTTATTGTCGTCTGTACGTCTATCCAGTTAAAGTACTTTACTCCTGCGGCTACATCAGTAAGCAGCTCCTTCCTACAGCTCCATTCTACTTCTTCTTCAATGGAATGCTTTGGATGTTGTTTTTTATGAACATATGGTGGTTTCAGTTCATTGTATGGCTCATAATCCGTATAATTATTGGAAAAAGCCGTGGTGTAGAAGATACTCGAGAGATTCCGAAAGAGTCAAAGAAGAAAGGAATACCTGATCAAGAAGCAAATGGCAAAGTTTTAGAAAATGGAGAGCTATCAGCTACAAATCATGGTAAGATTGCCCCATGTGTATGCAGTATGTACAGTCCACAGTATGTCTAAAGCCTGGTTCACACATGTGAGATAAACATAACACAAGTGTAATAAGCACAAGCGTAAGCACAAGAAAAAGAAACATGTACCTTTTTTTTTGTGCTGGCATTTATGCTTATTTCACCTGGGTTATGCTTATCTCACAAGTGTGAATCAGGCTTAAATCTTTGTTCCTGTAAATGCATAAGTACAGGGCTGGAAATAACAGTCGGTCATCGGACATTGTCCGACCAGATTTTGAATATGTCCGGCCAATTTCACATTTTGATCGGACATGATGTCCGAACATTTCACCAACACCTATTGTCCATCCATAAAATTTGGTTATATAAATTGTTAAAAAGGCTCGAAGTTGCGAACGGTACGGTCGCCAATGCGGCTAAAATTTCATCTTTGGCGACCAAAAATTCTGGTTTAGTCGACAACCGAAAATATGTCTGCGTTCACAGGCTACCATAAATGGCGACTACGTTTCTCTGTGTTGACAATAACGGTTACTTTCTCAGTCATTATGTCCTTCCAGAAATACATAGTGAAAGATCTTTGCTTCTATATCATTCCACATAAGAAAAGAAAGCAATGTATCCTTTTGCTTTGCTGTAAAGGATTCCCTCACATCGGAAAACTTGCAAACGGCTGATCGTGTTTGAAATCGCCCTATAATGCATTGCAAACCCTTGAGCATTGAGTACGT